GATTGTCGATGGTGTTCTATTTGCCTCTTGTTGTTTTGTTGAGGGCGACGTCAAAGCTTATGAAGCCATAGAAAATTGAAGTACTTTGGGTGGGATTCTCTGTATTCGTGCTTCAAGGGCACATTACAATTGTTTTATGGTTTTTGGCACTGCTTCAGAGAAGCTACGAGCCACTTGATTATCATCTCCGGACCTTTGGCTATGACAACTTATTCGAAACGTTAACCAAACGAAGCTGCTTTACTATTGAAACCTTGACGGCAAGGCAGTATGAAATAATGTGGCTTTTTTAAGGTTGGAAAATTCGGGGGTTGGGGACGTTACAGTGAAATGGAGACAAAAATATCACGCAGGCGTAGTATTAATCAGCAATTACCAAAGAATGGTCATTCTTACTAAACCGTTTTGAAAGGGCCAGGAGTTCTTCTTCATGCTTCACCTAGAATTCGATGATCACTTCTCACTGCTCTATGGAAATGATATTAATTATGCCAAGGTTTTATGAGGACGGACGCAGGCTAGTTTGAGGAGCGGCTTACAACCGCTGGTGAAGCTCCAACTTCTTCTCGTTTTTTCTACATTTTTCTTGTGTCAAGGGGAACTGTTGGGCTGTGAACTTCCTTTTGATAAGATGAGTGTACGGTACAAAAGTTTGAGATCATCAGCTGATTTTTAAATGGAGNGTAAGGAGCAGAGACGTCAACGACGATCTTTTTGCTGGAAGGGTTGCGGTCGGCTGCCATTTTCTCCAGCCGAAAATGCGGGAGCAGCNGAATCATAAAGATCTATCCAAGCTTCCCATGTGAGGGGGGGAGGGTTCAGAGAAGGATTACGCTGAAACTTTTTGGAAAAAGCTGAAGGGAAATTTGAGAAGACGTTCGCTACATACTCTGCAACGGAAAAGACCCTAAACGAGTTCTCGAGAAACTTCATCTATAGCAGAGGTGAAGTTTCTCGAGAACTCTGCCTCTGCTCTCAACAGAATCAGCGACCGACTAATGGCAGTGACTACGTACGCGATGAAGATGTACTGGGCAAGCAATATCACTAATCCGTTGCAGGCCAGGCCGGCCTGGAGATGAGAAGAAAGAGTTCTCTGCGTCAGATCCTTTTCGAAAAAGTAGTGTAGCTATTTTTCTTGCAATCAATGGTGCTTTACGAGGGTCGTGGCAAAGGTATACAGGGCAGCGTTGAAATACTCAATTTTCTATTGCACAAAGGAAGGCTCGCTAAGTGCACCGAAAGATGTCTTCACTCCACTGAAATCAAGATGTTGAAACGGCTTGCGTTGGTATATGAGCGACCGTAAGGAGCAGAGACGTCAACGACGATTTTTTTGCTGGAAGGGTTGCGGGCGGCTGCCATTTTCTCCAGCCGAAAATGCGGGAGCAGCTCCTGCAATGTTATGGAGACATTTTGCAAAACACACAGTGCCACCTTCAAGGAAAGCGCTGGACTCTGAAATTTAGTGGAATCGGGAACTGGAGATCGTGAACAGTATGGAGAAAGTCAGAGTAGAAGCAGACGTNTATAGAACAATATGAGAACAATTGAAAACAACTGCGGACTTTGCAATGGCGCAGAATTAGCGTTAGAATCAGCTGGGGGAGAGCGTTAATTAGAAGGTAGAAAAAAAAAATGCTGACCGGCATGTTAGGATGAGCAATTGAATACTAATGCAACCACTAAAAGATTTCATTATTTCTTCTAGATTTTTTCGACGGTGAGCTAGGCTATGTAGTACACAAGCGCGGCCACGGCTGAGCGGTCCTTTGAGAATGATCACTGGGACATCTTAAATCACCGAAATTGTAACCTCGGGGAAAAGGAGATCAACTGCTCAGGGTGCAGTTGTATCCAATTTGATAATCAGAAGTAGAATGCAATGGAATGTTAATATATTGGATCAAAGTTTTGTCACTAGCAACTAATTTTTCTGAACATCATGTAGTACCTCTCGGAACACTACTGAAGACCATCACTGATTGGAGATTGGGAGGACGGCCATTGTATTCTAGTGCAACGAAATTATGCTGTAACCCAGGGTTATCCGGATCCGATGTCTCTTTCTTCACATCTTTCACGCTTCCCAGTTTGTACTATGGGTTATCGATTTTTGTTCACAGTTAGTAAAAAAAAANAAAAAAAAAGTGGAAACGTTCCAGAACATTTGGCTATATCGGCTGCTTTTTAGAATGAATATAAGTAGTTCACTAACCTCCTTTCACAGCAATTAAAACTTAACCGCATTGATACTCAAAAAGAAATGACCTCGAGAGAAAGGTTGAAATTGCCCACGACTGCCTCATAAATACCAGATAAGCTGATCCTGTGTGGTCGCATTCATTTGAACGGTCACTGCGTTCCTACTTGAGACAACCTCGTTTCTGTATTGTTGTCAGGTCAAAGTGTTGTTGTTAGATCGCATATCGACCAACCTGCTCTCATCTTGTAACATAATCGAACTGCCTAACAGCTCCTCTTCATTCCAAAGCTCAATACTATCCTTGAGTAGCAACGGGTAGATCTCTGAGGGTAGTTGAATTCACATAAGAAGTCACCACATGAAGATACTTTGTCTTACTGAATTCCGCGAATAACTGTTCCCATCAGAAGTAAACGAGTAACAAGCGGATAGCGCTTCCATGCGTATTTCCTTTTTAAAAATATTTACCTCAAGTATATCTGAAGTTGGTCTTCTGATCATTCGTCTCTTATTTTACCATACGTTGATACGTCAATTTTCTTAAGCGCTATGCATCTCATTTCCCGATTATGCATCCTATATGTTCTGATATTTGTGTCGAGAGGCCAGGAATTTTGTGCAACTGCACCCGATGAATCACTTCGAGACATCTGCTTTCGACTCCAGGATATGGACCGTAGCGCTCGAGTGAGTTTGTGCGCCTCCAATTAAAAAATAGATACATCCAATATGGTACCTTGATACTTAAAACTCTCTTACAAAATAACTATTATACAACAGATTATTTCTGCTAAATTACCTATATTTTGACTTGGCTGCAATGAAATCGAGAATGCCAATGCGAAGTTGCACTCGGCAAGATTACAGCAGCTATCCCTCCTCATGCTCTTATTAAGGAAAAAGAGTCTACCTCTTGGACACCGCCAGAGGAAAGAAGGTTCCCACCAGATTCGTCTACATACTACGACTGCAACACCATCGCATGTGTCTGCTCATTTCTTGGTGGTGAGGCTGCTTTTATTTTTAGCAACCTGATAATAGGTATCATAAGTTACAACCACTATTCGGTCAGGAACTATGAGAGGAGAATACTGCTTAACGCCTGATGGCCAATACTTGGGTAAAGCGACTCGAAAAGAGTACAGAGAAATGACTGATGATGAAAGGAACAGGTGCCGATTCTTTCTATGATTTTTTCCTGGCTGAATGTTAATGTTCCTGGAAGGCTTCAGGTTTCATGCAGCAATGTGGTTAATGAAACGTTCGGGAGTATACGACGCCTTTGCAAGAATTCATACACGTTCCGTTGCTGATGGTGGAGCTCACTCAGGACCAGCATTCCTCCCTTGGCATCGGGAATATCTCAAAAGGTCAAAGTTGTCATGTTCGAAGACTGGTGCGCAACCCTTCAGCAAGGCTTACATAGACAGTGAAGCAATAGCAATTGTGGGAACCAATGAGAAGTTACTTTCTATGTCTGATATGGGTATTAAGGAATGGACACTCTAGTTGTCCCACTGAGTCCGACTAGCGCAATAGTTACACGATATTATGCTGTTCCATTCGAAACCATGTGCTTCGGTTGCAATGTGTTCCTTATTCCTTCCTCCTTCATTTCTAGTTCGAAACAGACTTCCTTTATAGATTCGAATTAGCCCTTCGAGCGTTTGATGCAGGCGTATCGATGCCGTACTGGGATTCAACCTTAGATCAGCGTTTGCCTACACCGCAACATTCCGTTCTTTGGAGTGATGAGCTACTTGGAGGAGCTCGGCCGGGAGATGTGAACGGTGGTGCATTCAGAGGGTGGTTGCTGGAGAATGTGAGTTGCTCGGCACTTTTTGGCAAAAACTGATCAGAGGCATTTCTGAGGCATCTGAACGATTCGTTGTTCTGACATAGATTCTCGGCTGGTTTACCAGATTCTGTGTATGTACCACGTTGTGTTATCGCCGTAACCTACAGTAGACAACCCAACCTACAGTACAACCTGCTTATCATTAGCAGGGTAAATCAGAGCCGAACGTTCAGTCATTCAGTCAAACAAAACATCACTATATCAACAGTCCTCAAATATCTTTGTGAACGGTGCATCATTTGTGATAACCAGCATAAGTTCAATTCTTTGTAGTTTAATCTTCAGTGACAACTGGAAAATGTAATTCACACTCGTACATACTCCATCCCTTACTAAAGAGTCCCGCATTTACAGGGTGCGCCATAAATATGGTAACAAAGTAATTTGGCTACAGAAACAGCAGTTAACATTGATACATGGTGAATTCATGTGATCTATTTACTATGCATCGCATCTACAAAACAAACACACGGTCATCTTATATAACCGTTTCCTGTACTAATTATAGTCCAAAGACGCTGCAGCTACATATCGACGGCGGCACCCAGAGTTTCTTGAGAAACTCCAGCCTGGGATTTTTTCAATGATTTCTTAGGAGCAGCAATAGTGGTGCATTTTGAAGCGCAGGCCTTCCTCTCTAGTCTGGGCTATATCCAGCTACCCATAACATTGTGGTCCGGAAAATTCGTAGAAGGATGGGAAGGTGGGATATGGTCGCGAACATATCTTCACCACCAGTCTCGATCTTTTCCCATAATAGCAAGTGCGCCGTTGTTTTTAAATCGGATCCCTAGTAAAATCTTTGACCCTTAGCTGCACCCTTACAGGGAACCCCTTCTTAAAGAGGTGCGGGTTGAATTTTGTACTTTTCTTGACCGAAATTTGCGATATCGCTCTAATGGTAGAGACTCTAGCTCAGACTATCATGAAAG